ATTACAGTATTTGTGTGTCCTGCTATGTGAGAACGCCTTTGAACTGACTCATATTGACATTTTCTACTGTTAAATAACAGGTTTACACGGGCATTGGATAACTATCGGCCCAATCCTGATCAATAGGTGAGAAGTCGGGTTATTCTGCTGGCCACTGCGAGAAAGTGACTGTTTTTTCACCCTCCCAATATGGCTCGCTGAACAGGAAGTGCAGAAGAAGAGAAAAATAATTGCTGCTTAAGGGGTGAAATGGAATTATTTGTAAAATATGTTAGCACTAAACATTTCCAATGCATCCTGTAACAAGAAAATGTGTACATTGTAAAGTTCTGCGTGAACTTATTGAACATGACTAAGTATTTCCAATTTTTGCGGTTTAGTTTACAAAAACGTTTCTATTGGTGTGATTTACTGCTCGAGATAAGTATATGGCCACAAGCTCAGACTTCTTGTGGAATCTTAAAGCAGAAAACTTGCTCAGTTTAACATCGATTTTGATTCTGAAAAACGTACACTACCAAAAGTTGATTTTTTCAAAACTTTTTTCCTGGGTTATTCGCTTTGAAATTGTTAACTTTAATTCTTTTATTTAAAGGCCTTGAAGTTTCCCCTATATAAAAATGATCACATTGACAAGGCATCTTGTACATTACATTTTTCGGATTTTCAATTTTGTCATGAGGTTTTGTTTTTGAAATTTTGCGTTTTGAAGTGAGTTCTAGTTAATTTTGCATTTGATCCGGAATAAATGGAATAAAAAGGTCTGCAATGGGTTTATTTCAATTTTGCTTTAATTTAATCAAGCAGTTGAATGTTTGTTTGATGATGGATTTTTAAGGAATTGATCAAGATAATGAAAATTCAAGCGGATTGAAGACTTTTAATAAACCGAATAATCCAAAAAGGAAATTGTGCTCGGTAAAAACCGAAAGAATTAGAAGGTTTTGAAGGCATTTTGAATACGCGAAAAAACCAGATGGCTCCGTAACAGAAGAAATATGAAGAGTCGAAATATATGGAAGCTGCAGGCCCGAGTTTAACAGAAAGATTTGAAAAATAAAGTGCAAAATATCTTAAAGCAAACGAAAAAGGCAAGACAAATAGATGACGGAACAAAAAAATATATAAGACGACAAAGAAAAGTGAAGAAGAAGACAAAACCAGCTACATGGTAAATTTCTGAGCAAAATCTACTCCAATTGTGCAGCAAGTTGAGCAATTGGGCCATTTTTCCCATAAAACCGCTCTAATTGTTTCAATATCTCAAAAGTAATATGTTAAACTGGAATGAGCCCATTCCGTTCCATTGAAAGTTCACATAGCCGAAAAGGCACGCATACTCAGACCGGAACGGTATTTTCCAAAGTTTAGAACAAACTAATGCGGTCGCCTGTTATTTGAGAATTATAAACTGGAATCGGCCGAGGCATACTACGTTCGTTTCCCCACGAGCTTCAGCTAGTTAAACTAGTTTGTTTAATACATGTTTCATACTGGAGAACAGTCGTCTGAATTCATATCGGAGCTCCGACGAAAACCACACTGTTTAAATGCTGAAATTAGTAGTGATTTTCCACTAATATGCTTTTACATTTGTTGGAAAATTATTGCGCTTTAATCGCTTTTGGGGAATTGGATTTTGATATTAAGTGGCTTTAGAACTTTCGGCCACGTTTAAGGGCTCATTACTTTTAAAACATGTATATTTCAATAGAGAGACTTGCCATAAAGGAAGCCGCACAAACCATTGATTTAATTGGTCAATACAAAACCCTGTAATCTAAGGAACAGCTGGAGCATACTGGTTTCCATCAGCTTGCTCAAACTATGGAAAAAACAGCATTAAGAACAATTTCATACTCAAGCAGAGAATATCCAAAGCATTCGCGATTAGAAGGGACGGCAAAAGTTCATTGACTTGGAGAGAACACGTTGTGAGCAGTTCAATAATATACCCCCGGCCTTTCGAAAGGCATCCTACAGAGAATTATTTATGAAAAGGGCCCAGTGACAGGGCCAAATTGGTTGCCGAAGAGAGGCAGTTGAGGGCTGCGAGTTCAGGGAAAAAATACGGATCGTATGTCGTTAATGATGCCATTTAATTGAATTAACAAGTCTAAGAGGGATTAAGGACTTTGGAAAAATATCCAGACTGTGCGAGGAAAGTTCCGGAATTGCTTTTGGATGGATCGGCTCTGGAGTGAGAGGAGATAAATTAACAATTTCAAAGCAATAGCGCTTCGAAGCATTAAAGCACAAATGGCAAAAATGACTCACTGCGAAAAAATATACAAATTTCGTCTTCACTCAAGGATCCTTTGAGACGCCAAATAATAACAACTGTCGCATAAACTCTAAACATTTAAAGTGGCTTCGAATCTCGATCAAAACTCCCCGAACTGTTTAACGAAATCAGCAATTTCCCATGTCAGGTCGCGCACAACTTTTTCACTTCAGTGTGCATTTTTTAGAAAGTCGAAGCAAAGCGAGGCGGCCGCATTTCTCCTCCTTCGCATTTTAACAAAGTTTCACCTGCCACTCAACCTGTCACACAAGGACCTGGTTGGTGCGGTTTTCTTGAATGTTCCTGCCGTAGTTGTAGGTAGTTTCATTTCCCAGTGGGCTCCCGAACCGGACAGAGCGATATTTAAAGTTCTCCAAGTTAAGTTTAGAGGTAAATAAAACGTAAAGTAGGGAGTTTTTGAGCTGATTCGATTACGGTAAAGTGGGAACTTAGGTCAACGTCAAATAACTTTTGGAACGGGATGAAAATGTAATGTTTCACCGCCCTGAATCGGGCAGGCTCTACCAATCAACTAAACATGTTAAAGAATAACTAGAAGCTAACATATCAACTATAGAAAACACATTTTTTTCTATGGTCTAAAAATACTAAAATTCAGGTTGTTTCTGTTTAATTAAATATTTGTAGACGAGACTTTTGAAAAGTCGCACACGATATTTTTTTCTCAATGTTTTCCCAGGGAGTCAAAAGTTTACTCTTATCATTGTTTTCAGTGTTTTTGCCAAGTTCTGCTTTATTAACAACAACGTTCGGGATTAGGATTTACTTCCTGATTAAACCTTTGAAATATAGATAAAACTCCTTTGCTGATAAATTTCGGTCTTGTTGATAAAACGCCTTATTTCTATGTGTTCAACTGGATTTCGATACTTTTACCCAAACATAACAATTAGAAAAAATTTATTTTGATCGGTATTTTAAGAATGAAACAGTCTGCCGCTTGTCCAAATTTTCCTGCAAAATACCGGGAAAAATATGTCTTCTTCACTCTAACCGATAAATACTCTCCAACGTTTATCATAAAAAATTACATAATATATAGGTAAAAACGTCCGGATTAGTCTTGATTTACTGCCTGATTAAACCTTCATTAAACTAATAAAATATGGATAAAACATATTTGCTGATAAATTTCGGGTTTGTTAAGACGCCTTGGTCGTATGTGTTCAAATGGAGTTTTGTCGGCTTTCTCTTCGTAAAAACACTTAAAATAACTGTGTCTTGATCGATTTTCTAAAAAAAAATGTCTTCTTCACCATACCCGACAAATACTTTCTAATATTTGATCATTTGTGTCGTGAATTACTTCGTGATTAAAATTTGATTAAACTTTTAAAATATAATAAATAATAGTAATATAATAAATATAATAATAATAATAAAGCCGATAAAACGGCTTGTGTTACAATTGGAAATTTTCCCACTTTTCTCCTTATCACAAAAAAATTAACCGGGACTTGATCGGTTTTTTAAAGAATGGAAATGTCTTACGCTTGCTCAAAATTTGCTGTAAAATTCCGAGAAAAAAATATATCTTCTTCACTATAACCCAGAAATACTATCTAACATTGGATATTTTGAAATTTCTAACTGCTTGTTGTTGTTATCCTTAAAGCAACCATTTTCCGTTACAAAAACTTCAAAAGCCATATAACATAAAATGTTCTTAATTTCTCAAAATTCTCTAATTTCACATTTCTTTTAAAAATGACGCAACAAAATAGTGTTTGCTACAAGTCGAACTACAAATTTTCATTGCAATTTTGAGATTCTTTAGTTCAAAATTCTATTCACTTTCTCTATAACATTTTGTCTCCACTAGCAAGTTTTGATTCGCCATTCTGAAAAACTTTTCTTACTTTTATTTTTGCCTTTATGTATTCTGCTTTTCTCCTTTTTGTGATCTTTACGTACTTTCTAGTGTTTTAGCTTCCTTGTGCAATTTTTCACTGACTAGACTGTCGCTTCCTTTAATTTCCGTTCGCTTTAGTACATAATGTCGTTCTTTAATTAATTATCATAAATATAAATTAACTTTGCTAATTATTCTTGTTGCACGCGGAATTTATGTGCAATTTAAGCGCGAAATTAGCACTAGTCATTCGCTTAAATATACTTGTTTCACCTTTATATAATTTTCTGTTTGATTCATTCGTTTTCATTTACCTTTGGCAACTTATGTGAGTTTAGTCCATTAAAGTTCCGAATTTGAAAAAAAATGACTAATTTGTACCCAGAAACAACATTAATCCAAACAGCAGAAAATAACACTTGACTCTGCGTACAGCAACCAGCTGTTTGCTTTCACATTTCCAAAAAATACACTAAAAATAATTAATTATAACCATATAAAGATCGCAATCAAACCGCAATTAATCATCATTAAAAACCTTCCACAACAGGATTTAAAAAAGGAAAATGCTATCAAACTAAGACTTCGGATCAAAGTAAATCGTTCATTTGTACTCAGAAGAGGCTGTTGACAATGTAGCAATAAGCGAGCCTTTGATAAGACACCCAATTAAGCACATTTCCTTACCAAATTGCTTGACACATCAAGCACCAAATCTACAAAGGTTACATATTTCGTTTCCGGCAAAACGGGTTCTTTCATGTAATAAAATATAAAATGCTACCTGTGTTTTAGGGCAGCTTTGGCAGGATAAAAGAGAAATATTTCAAATACTCCACTCACCTTTTGTTAGAGAGACGGAGCTGGCCAGGAAACAGACTATGAAGGTCCAGACCACAAATTTTAAACTCGTTCCTGCCGACATTCCGCCAACTTCGTTCTGGTTTCAGATTCCTGCAACCGAGAAAAAAAATTGTTAGAATACCGTCTTTATAATTAGATTCTCTCTGTTTCGGTTCTCAAGAAATGTTTTGCATCGTTTATATTCCTACTAATTCCAGAAATAATTACAAATTTCGTTAGCCAAGTTCCGGCTGCAGAGATTATCGGTTTTTCGGGGTGGATGAAGCACAAAGGTTTGCGAATCACCGGATTTTATTTATGGATAAAAGCTGACCATTCCGACTAATGGAAGACCCTTGTTAGGCCCTGAAAACATAAGCTAGCCAGGTTATTAATATTTCCACCGTGGATGTTTGCTTCGGAACACCACCCTGAACAGTTTGGATTTACTTCCAATTAAATTATCATATTGTCTGTCTAAAGTTTAACGTTTCCCTTGTTTTTTCTTTAGGTTTTCCCTGAAATATCCGGTCAAACAAACCGTAATCTTGAACAGTCGAAAATTGACGACAAAATCAACATTTTACTATCATTGTCCGAACTGAAACCGCGGTATTTTAGTCGAATGCATAGCATCTAAGTAAAATATGTTTCCAAATGGCTGATGCGATCCAAATAGCCAAAAGCAAACTGAAATGCTTGCAAACAACGAATACCTGACACACAAATATTCCGGTGTGGGGAACGAAAATAAAATGCTCTCAGGAAATATCCAGAAGCATCGTAAATATCCATAAAAGACTAGAATCAGTATCGGAATTCTAAACGTTTATGTATTATATGCAAAAATCTCTCAGAGGTGGAGGAGCGTACATGGAAGCATTTTGATAATTTATACGTTGGTCCTGAAGATCCACGAACCGCTACATGCTAAGGACATTTGTGCTGGTTTTTTCTTTTTATTAATTTGCAACATTTACAGAACCCCAAGCTGGCGGGGGTTTAAAATGAAATTGTTCTGAAAATTTGCAGAAACTCAATCTGCTGTTGTTTTAGAACAACATTTTTTGGATGTGAGGATTGAAATGCTTCCTATAAGGTGTGAGTAACAATTAGACGCTTGCCAAAATTTCATGGGTGTGAAGATTGAAGGGTCTTCTATAATGTGCGAAAGTTTCAAGAAGCGTCATGGACTAGTTCAACATTTCGAATTTTTTTATGCGATGGGGCCGAGTTGCGATTAGTCGCTTTTCGCACAGAAGAGAAATGCGAAAATTTGTAAAAACTCAAGGTGATGTTAGTTTACTAGTTAAAATTTGAGGACTCAAACTACTCAAAGAAGATTGAAGCATCTTCTATAATGTGCAAATGATTCAAGTAATTGCCTGGTGTCCTTTGGAAGTGAGAATAGAATAAGCAACGAATACCCAGACGCAAATACCATCTGTCCCGAATTCGATTCCACTCGCATTATTCTAGTTCCAACAATTGAAGACATCAATTTGTAAATTTGATAATAACCAATTACCGGCAAGTTTTATAAAGGATTATTATAACGCTCAAACTTGTTACTAATTCACTGGGTGTTGGGAGTCGTTTAAAGCGTGGAAATTGGTTGACTACAAGCCCATGAAAATTTACGAGTTGCCACACTGCATGTGGTACCTTCGTTTTATCTCCATTCAACATCCTGCTGTCATCTTTCCTGCCGGTTGTATGATACAAATATGTGGTGTAATGATTGGACAGCCACAGCAAGCTCCAGATCGATACGATGATTAATGGGATCAGATGGAAAAATCGAAGTGATTGGCCGGGATCGTATGCAAACCGATCCGTAATCCACCAAACTGCATCGACTTCCGTGTATGGTCATTGACATTTTCCAATGGCCACAGCATCCGGAAGATTATGGTCGACGACTAATTCGTCTAAATTGCGTCATTGTTCGACACTAATGCAGGACACGATCTGGGCAGGATTTCGTGTTTTATGTGTGGCCACTGTATGTGGGGGCCTATTTAGATAATTTAATTAGAACTCCCTCCCCAGTTTATTAGCGCAGAAGGAACGTTGTGCTCTTTGATCGGAACGAATTAGCTCTAACAAGAGTTGGACTCATTTAGAGTTATTCGAAAAGTTACCTCATTTCTATAAAAAGGGAATTTGTAGATCTCAAAACGCTTTGTCTCCAATACTCTGTAAGTGATCAAAGTGTTATTGCTCGAAGGTTGGTACGTATTTTAATCTGCTCTTAAACAAGCTCTAAAAAAATTGATTTTTGGTGGTAAAATGACAATTATATTTTATTTGGTTGTTAGTATTGCTCTTTAGTATTCATACATCATTTTTATTCCCAATCAAGTATTTATAAACAAAACTGATAAATATCAAATAATTTTCCAATGCAATTGCGAAAAAAAACCCAGAAACTTAGATATTTTCTTAGTTTTCTATTCAGATTCTATTCAATCGAAAATTTCAATTAGGCTAAATTTTACTTTAGAGAATATTATCGTAGTTAATCCATTGCCCGTAAAAACTATGAAGGAATACCGATAAAATCTCGGAAAAATACGAAAAAACCCCGATTTCCATAGTTTTACTAACTATTGAACTAATGTTCACTCTATAAATTGGGTCAAATTATACGTTTCTTGGGTACTGCCTATCGCAGATAGAAAATTAATTATCAAATCTGATATTTGCTATGTTTAAGTTTAAAAGTTTTTAATCAAGTTTTTAAAGTCAAGCCAAGACACAATTGATCGATAATTCCTCCAGAACTTGACGCTTTGGGCGTCCACTTCTCCCCAGTTTCTCATCTTCAGCCATCACTTCCCTCATAAAACCACTACACACACACACTTATCCTCAATGCCCTCGAGCTAAATTGTATGCGATTTTTCTAATTGCCTTGTTCTTTACTAGCTGAAGATGAATTGGGGTTTCCATCTAATATGTTCCGCAACTTCCAGTGACTTGGTCGGATAATAATCCGGAATCAAATAATAGCAATGGAACGTAATAAATCTTCTGGTAAAACTCTGTTGAAACATAACCGAAACCAATTCGGGATTCAATTCCACAACTGAGATTCCACTGCTGAAACATTCGCATGCGAAATCACAATAATAGGAATTAGAGTTTGTTTCTCTCTGTGCTTTTCTCTGTTCGGGTCTTTGCCAGTTTTATGCGACCTCGTCGGTCCCCAACTCTATATCGTTAAAATAACAGCACAAAAGTACATATACATACATGCACACACACATACAAAGAAGCGAAACTGCCCCAGTGCCCGTGTTATAATAACGCTACTACCGGAACAAATTGAATCTTCCCAGCGAAGCCCTGTTGCCGACATGGATAACAGGTTTTTCGCATTTCACTTTTTGGTTTCTCATTTTCTTATCAATTGATTCATTTGGCTTGAAGTCTTATTCTGTTCTTGATCGTACTTTTGCATATCTCGTTTACTGTATTTTTTTGTTGAGTTTTCCTTTTCAGGATTTTTCATTTCGTTAACCTGAACTTGTATCAAAGAGTCTGTTGTTTCAAGGATCAATTTTTCGCTTCTTTTGTAAAATCACGTCTCTGGAAAGCGTCTAATTTGACTGTTTTATTCCCATTAAACTGTTTTCTTTGTCCACTGACTTGGATTTTGTTATCGAATTTGCGAAAGTAAATTTTTTTCCAACTTTCCGCATCTTGAAACAGTTTTAAAAACATATTTGCATTATTTTTGCAATATTTCCCATCTTTCATCAATTTACAATTTTTACTTTTCTAATTTTTGTCGCAACAGATTTTATTAGCAACTGTCGATTTTCCGAACTACTTCAAATGTGGGTCGATTTTTATTTCTTAAAACTCCTCACTTGGAAGATAAAGAGATTTGCTCTATTTGCATTTAGGCACTCTTGCGTCATTTGCCTCAAAATTGCCTCCCAAATCAATGCAAAGCGCAAGATAAATTTAAATGCCCAAATTACATTAAAAAAAACAGACGCAAATTGCACTGTTTTATGTCATTCATCAGCCCAAATGTTTGCCATCCTCACATCTTCAACCTTTGGTGGAATATCAAGAATTTCTTTGTAATGGTGGCAACATAGCGGGAGGATCGGGGAGTTCCACATATATGGCCCTTTGTAATTTTGTCAGAGTAAATACAAATATGTCCCTTAGGATTTTGCTAACAGGTTGCATGAGAACAACGCTATTCTGATGTATTTGCATGGTAAAATTGAGCTGATCTAAGGATTATTGTAAATTTCGCTCACACCGAAGTCTCCGAGGACCGATTGGAAAAAACCTGGATTATTTTGACTCTGGATCGTTGATTAATAAAATTGGAAAAATCCTCAAAATGACCATAAAGCAAACCTAAAGGGCAAGAGTTATTAAATAACAGCGAAAACTAACAAGCAAACTGATTACGAAATGTGAAAAACTTCGCAAAAATCTTTCGCAGATCTAATGGAATTTATTTTGCATAAACTAATTTCTGTATTTAGAGACTGTATCAATACAAGAATTATATAAGGAATTAGGCGCATTACTGCTCAAAAACCTTCGTAATAGTGGTAGTCTTACATGTATGAACATGCGAATAAGCATTGCAATTGTATGCGGATTAAATGTATGCACCAAATATGCTGTCGTGGTTTAATCCCGGTACGATAAACTGAAAGCCCATAAAATAAAAGCTCTTACAGAAAGCCCCATACGCGTGCCGCCCCATACATGCGTCGAGCGTCGGCCCCTATTGATCAATGAGGCTTTGAGGCCGGATTACCATAGTTTTTGACTGCATTCGTCCGATAAGACTAAACGGCATTAGCCGCTCATCCAGTCCCGTAAAATACTGTTTTTAATCTTTGGGCTTGTCCCGATTTAGAATAATGGACCAACCTTTTTAGATCAAGAGCTTGGCATAAATAACCGTATTCGATCGGAAGAAATCTCGTCTTTGGATAATAGTTTGAGGCTTGATCTAAGCCATAAAGAACGATCTTTTGGCCATTTTTTTTTTAATAATAGTACTGTCTGTTCTGATGGTTTGGGGCTGGATTGAAACTGGTTTTAATTCCTAAAAATGCCAAGAGCAT